ATTATTATAAATAATCAACAGAAGGGGAAGCATCTGAGTCTGATACAGGAAAAACACCCAGAGTGTCATTTTAATCCCTTCAAGACTTACAGATTTATTATGACATAAATGCCCAGGACTGATGTCCATGGGCATTTGTTAGTTTTCAAAGGACCCACAGATATAGACATTCAGGGGGATCCTGGAGAAGTCTCCAAATTCATTTAATTATTTGACTGTTGCTGCCATCAAACTTTGGCTGAAGAGCTGAGCAGTAGGTGGCAGCAGTTACTTGCTGTGTCTGGCCAGACAGGCTTATAATTCTGGATTGTTTTGCCCTCTCCTTTCAACTTTAGGTTATGTCACAACAAGCAGACGAAGGTATACCTACCAGAACCTCCCTTTCCTCATGCAGAGGTAAGTTGGTTTCCCTAAATGTGCAGGACTTTGCTGCCATTTCATTCATTCAAAATGGGAAAGGATGGATATAGCTTCTTTAGCAGAGTAGGACTAACTTCCCTAGGGCTGTGCCCACCCCCAAAAACAAAAGTATTGATTAATTATAATTTTAGAATGACAGAAAGAGAGTGCATATATAAGCTTGTTAAGCTATTTAGTTTTTAATTTTAATTAAGTTTTTCCTGACCATCCTATTTCTTAGACTGCATCCCTGGCATATCATTCAAAGACCAAGTGCAGCTCAGATATAGCTTGCTCTTGCTTCCTTTGGCTAACTATAATCCTTCATAGTCTGCAGACCCAAATAATTTCTGAGACTACTTTTTCTTGGAATTATGGATGAGTTCAGGCAGGCAGCCCAGGTGTTTGGACTTGGATTTCTGTACTGAAGAGGAAGCCTGACTTGACGACTGGCCCCTTCCTATTCTGTGGGTCTTATGTTTATAAACAGAAGACCCTCTAATCTTAGGCCCAACATATAAGTAATTTAGAACAATGCAACCTTCCTATGGTGGTTTTCTGGGACAAATGCTTAATAAGGACTTTTTGCTTGGTTAGATTTTCATGGTAACAGTATAGGCTACAATGAAAGTTCTTTTGAGCTGTAAGCTATGAGAGAAGCTTGGGAGATGTAGGAAACTGGGAGAAGACTGGTTTGCCAACTCAGAACAAGGCAAAATGGATTGCTATATATGTTGGCCTTGTTTAAAAAAAATGAGTTTAAAAACTGATTTCTGCAGTTTGCATGTCTGCTTATTGACCTTCCAAACTGCATCCACTTTATATGAAAGAAAAAGCAAGTTGTTGGAGAATGCCCTTGTTTTTAATGCTGCAATTTAAGCTTAGAGAATGTATTTGGTTTTTGTTTGGTTTTTTTTTTTCTCATCTCCAGCCCCTGGAGACTTTGGTCAATATAGTATAAAAGATATCCTTGAAGCTGATTCTTTTACTTCCATCAATGGTAAACAAGAAGAAGTTGAATGTGTTTTCAGAAGTCTGCATGCATTTATTTAATGCATTATTATTATTATTGTTCTCGTCTTGTCAAGGAAAATGTCCATTAGCAACACCAAGGCAAAGCTTCTTATTTCAGGTTTGGCAAGACTTGCTTACAGAGCCCTTTATCTCTGCTCTCTGGAGATGGAATTCTTACTTACAAAAGAATTCATCTCCTACAATTGCCTTCTGACACTCCAGGTTTCATTGCTGGAAGAAATGCTCAGAAGAGGAGAACCATATTTGGCTTGGGAGCTGTACTTTCTCTGTCTGGGAACTACAGAGTGTATAGCCTACAATATTGCTATGTTACTTTATTTATAAACTAAATCTTATAAGAACAGACATTACAACCACATGATCCTAGCCAGAAAACTGAGAAGCAGGGCCAAAATCCATATTTATCCTCTATGAACAGAGGGTGGAGGGGTAGTTTTAACAGTCACCAAAATGTGTCTTCAAAATAATTATTAAAGAAAAAAGCAAATAACCATCTTTCTCCTTCTGAATACCAGCTTATCCAGTCAAACAAACTGAAGCATTACCCCAGCATCCATGGAGATTTTAGTAACGACTTCAAGCAGCCTTGCGTGGTGTTCACTGGTCATCCCTCGCTTCGGTTTGGCGATGTGGTGCATTTCATGGAACTGTGGGGGAAATCCAGTCTCAACACTGTTATATTTACAGGTATGATTTCTGATGTAATTAATAGCAAAACAGAGCTGCATTTCTAATGTGTGAACCTGGGTAAGTAATTCACAGACTGTATGCATCATCATTTTTTTACCAAGCCCACAGAGACTTCACTTCCAATAAAAGCCAATATGGTTTTCCACAGACATTTTATCATTATGGAAAGTAAATGGGACCTTAAAAATAAAGAGCAGCAGTTTTAATTGGGCCTGAAAGGGAAATGAGTAGCTAATAAAGTTCTTCTGAAATTTGATCAAGTTTGAATAATTAATTAAAATGTTGGCATCCTTCTGGCTAAAAGGGACACTTTTACCAGAACCAACTCCAAGAGCAGACCCACAAATGTTTTGTGACATTGTGTTCAAGAAAAAACAGATTTGCTGGATGAGGCCAAAAATAAATAAATCCAGCACTTGGAGTCAACATTCGCCATTGAAATGCCCTATATCGGGGTTGGCAACCTTGGCTCTTTTATGACTCGTGGACTTCAATTCACAGAATTCCTGAGCCAGCCATGCTGGCTCAGGAATTCTGGGAGTTAAAGTCCATGAGTCATAAAAGAGCCAAGGTTGCCTACCCCTGCCCTATGTGGATTCTCAGGAATTGTTTTTTCTGCTTTATTTAAAACATCTTGTCTGTAGTTATGTCTAGATATGTGGGGACTGTCACGGACAGTCTGGCCATTCTGGATTTTCCCACAGGACTTTAAGTTTTTGCTATAACTCAGAGCAAAGATGTTCATGTAACTTAATACTGAAGTTGAAACAGGGTTGCTCAATTAACTTTTGAAAAATATTTTGGGCTCAAGCCCACAGCTTTCTTTTATATGTTGAAAAGTTTTGAAGAAATATTGCTATCTATTGTATAAACAATTTTTTTCAGAGATGAAATGTTTTAGGAGTACTTCTTTCCAAATTCAATTTCCTTGTTGCAGAACGAACTATTTCTAATCTGACTCTGGTTTAATGGAAGATTTAATTAAATGTAAGACATAGTTTCCCTATCCCCCCCCCCCCGACCTGTTGCCACTGCCTCTTGATTAAATTTCCAATAGGAAAGAAGTGATAATTTTTCTAGATGAATTGCCATTGTCATCCTACATGAGACTAATTGACATAATTTTCTATTGATTATCTGAAAATAACTAGATTAGCCTTCCCCACTGTGGTATCTTTCTTATGATGTGTTTGTAATGGGAATTGTGATTCATTATTTCATGGGGAGGGATGTCAACAAATAGGGATAAGCTGAACTAGGAATCTCTTCCCCTTGAAGTCTTTGAAAAGAGCACATTTTATTTATTTATATTAAATTTGAAGATACAGTAAAAACCCTATTTTTATAGTGTTATACAGCTCCTTACTTTTCAGACAAGCACTGTGGTAAAAGTAGCTACAACAACAACAATAATAATAATAATCTGATGATAATCCAATTTTCAGGCCCAACTGGTATGAGACAATCCTATTTGTGGTTACTCAGAATTAGGTCTCACAAAATTTGGTGGGAATTGCCCGAGAATCAGGGCATCCAATAACTTTCCTCACCTTGTCTCTTCCCATATGGATGATGGGAATGTAATCCAAAATATCTGGAAGGCACCATGTTGGAGAAGAATGATGGATCAGATGGCAACCTCAATTAACAAAGCTGTTGTAAAAGCCAGATGACAAGAAACTTTAATTCTTAATGGGGACCGTTGTACTACTCATGGACTGTCTTTGAAAATGTTGGGAGGTAGATGTATTGGCTAAAGCTTACCCCTGTTGAATTCTTCTGTTAAAGTGATTTCATTCAAATCAGGAGCCTATGATGAGTGGGTAGGACAAGAAGGAAAAATTAAATTACTTAAAATAATGTGTTGGAGAGTCAACAGATTGATAATAAAGAAGAGGGTAGTAAAATCCTTGATCAAATATGCAGAAATCTCTAAATGTAAATTTCTGCAAAGATCCTCTGGGGCATTGTGGGAAAGAAAACTGATGCTAGCAGACACAACCACAAGCCCAGGGAAGCTCGGTGCCAATGTGGTTTCTTCTCTTTTGTGTCTGTATTCAAATGTCAGAATTTGGAGTGTGTAGAACAACAAGGCTTTGGGTAATAAGCCAACTCTTTATTCTATGCATCCTCTTTGTTTCAGGGCTTGAAATCTTGATCATTAAAATGTCCCCAAGATGTATAGTCCCTGCTTTCTGATTTAAACCAAAGTCCAAAGTCCTATAGAGGAGTGTGTTGTTTGACAAAGTTTTGGCATAATATTAAACACTCGGTTTCTTTCTCTCTCTCTCTTCCCTTTCCTGTTTACAGAGCCTGACTTCTCTTATCTGGATGCATTGGCCCCCTACCAGCCACTGGCCATGAAGTGCATCTACTGTCCTATAGACACCAGGCTGAATTTTATCCAGGTGTCTAAACTACTCAAAGAAGTACAGGTAATCAAATTTACTTGTCTTAATTTGCTTACTGCAAGTCCAAATTATATTTTACCCAAGTATGACTCCCTCCAAAATTTATTCAGTCATATATGATAGAACTGAGGCACTCTGTGTGTGTGTGTGTCAAGCACTGAGAAATTATGAAAGCAGTGCCACACCATCCGGACACAAATTCCATCCCTTTTATAAATGTGTTCGTGTGGTAGAGTTTGTGTTGCAATGGTCCAGTGTTGCTTTCATCATTTTAATGAAAACCTCTGCTTCTGCAGATGCACCTAGAAATATTCTTTATGCCAATTTATTGCTCAGTGAAGAAAATCCAACTGACTGTATTTGAAGGTTTCCAAAGAGGCTAATATCTTATTAGAAACTGGATTTTTGCCAGACTGCATTATGTGAAGTTTTGCTGAGCATGCAACTGACATTTGTCTTCCTGTAATGCAGACTTGTATCTGAAAAGCAGAAAACACTCCCTTTGGTAACCTCCAACCTAGGCTGCCCTGACCCCATTTTTCCAGCTCTCTAGGGCTCCTTGTCATTTATGTTTGGCAGTGCAATTGTCAAAAATCAACCATGTGGCTGATTGCCATTTTGAGATGAGGAACACAGGGGACATGGTAAGTTCTAAAATAATTGTAACAGCAGTTGAGGGGGAAAAAACCAACCGTAAAGAAAAGATTGTGTGACTTGTTCTCACCCACTTGGAATCATCATGTTAGTGTAGCCCTCAGGGCCCCACAGAATTTAGGAAGGTCACTGTGAGACAGCTGCACATTTCAAATATTATATTCCTTGCAGCATAACTTCTTACTAGAGCTGCAGTAGTACAATAAAAATCCCAGTTTTCCAGATCTCAGCTGAAAGGGAACTACATTCAGTGGACAAAATTCAGTTAGAACTAAATTTCATTTTTGATGTGTGCCGTTGTGCCCACAGTAAAAAAAATGACAATAAAGGTTATCTTATCATAATGGTATGATTGGTGTTCATGCCATTTGTCTAATGACATCATTATCTAAATGATACAATTTACAATACAATCTACATTTGCATTGCCCAATTGTGTGCTTCAGATTTAACTGTAATATAAACCTTACATGAACTGATCCGAAGGCTTGAGACAAGCTACCATTTCTTCAGTTTTTCAGTATAATTAACTTTTTCTAGTTTTCCCCAAGCAAGGCATTCTCCAGATTCATGGATATTCCCTCCACGAATTCTCAGTAATGATCCTGTAAGCTTAAAAACTCTGGGATTTGAAATCCACCCATCTGCAGATCTTCCCAGAATAGCTTTTTTAAGGCCTGATCTTATGGTCCTGTAATGGTTGAATGTACAGTACCTTGATTGTGGGACTCTCTGGGGGGAGGGAGCTATTTTATTATTTTATTTCATTTCATTCTTTTCCAAGCAGAAAGCAGACTTGGCTGGACATTTTCTCCCTGGCATGCTATTTTTTTAGTTTCTGTAAGTTTTATTATGCAAAGCCTTGAAAATAACCCCTCCTTCTACATACAGCATATAAACTGTATGTGGAGTCATTGGGAGTTGGACAGCACATATTTTTAATTAATTTATCTTGAAAAAAGTGTGTGAAAAACCTTTTTTTCACACGTTGAAACTGCATTGTATACCTTACTGAAAATCTCAAGACTGCTTTTCTTGTTTTCCTAACAGCCTCTCCATGTGGTTTGTCCTGAACAATATACTCAGCCTCCTCCAACCCAATCCCACCGCACAGATTTGATGGTTGACTGCTTGCCTCCACCCATGTCTTACCGTAGAGCAGAGGTGCTAACTCTTCCATTCAAACGCCGCTATGAGAAGATTGAAATCACCCCAGAGGTGAGGAATGAAAGGTCGGCTCATTAAGGAAGGGGTGGGGGACTGATAAGTGGTATCTTCAGGATTGTTTGGAGAGGGAGAGTGAAAGACCTTGAAGTAATGGGTGAAGTGTATGAATAGAAGCACCTAGATGTTGCTTATTGAGATACTGTAACTGGTGTCAGCAAGATACAGATATACGTAAGTATTGTTCAGATTTTCTTGAGAACAAAGAACAATAGCTGTTGCTATTGATGTTGCTGAAATGAGATCACATTTTGCAGGAAAAAAGTCTGCTGTATGTTTTTCTCTTCTAGCAAACTTTCTAGAACTTTTCAGTTTTACTAAGCAAAATTGGGTTACTTGTGCTCTGACTTAGTTTTGTAACAGATTCCTACTTGAGATTACCAGTGTGTTGGCTACATGCACCAATGTTCCTTTGGGTAATTTTCTTGTTGCCCTTGCAATGACCAGTCCCCCCTGAATGGTTTGTTTGGAGACTAGCTACATGATCATGGCTAGTCATTCCACCAATGGACTAGCCCATTTGCTATGGCAGTTTTGCTATTGTGCATGAGAAATCTATTTTGGACAGCTAATTGGGGTAAATGGGTTATTCCCTGTCCTAGGGATTGGTCTGAAGCTCTTTTGAATCCTGCTTGTGTTCCTTTGTTAGTTGATTACGATGTCTGAAGTCTTGTCTGATGATGTGCTATTCCATTCTTCCAGTTACACTCCCTTCTAATGATCAGAGTTCTGCGTTCTTTTGCATGCCTTGAGACTCTGTGTTTTGGGAGCAGTGGGGGGGTTCACAATTGTTGTTTTTCCTATAATATAGTTGTCCTTCGTAGTTTTCCACATTGATCATTGTCTCTAGTATGGATGAGACAAATTATCCTTGTTTAGGATCCACATTTAGATTGCATTTGCTTCACTGCTAGTGTACAGTGTACAGTGTAAGATACAATATTTTGGGCTTCTATTTAAAAGATGCATCAAATAACACCTGAATTAGATGGGAGTTTATAAATGGAAGACATGTGTATTTTAGAAAAATCGAAAACTCTGTGAAGGGCATATTTGTCAGTATATTCTAAAACAGGGGTGTCAAGCCCAATCGCATCGCGGGCCGTATTGTGACATATCGGGATATTTTTTGCCTTTGTGGGGCTGGAGTGGGTGTGGCCTGCGTGTTTGACATGCCTGTTCTAAAATGATAGATTATGAGAAATAATAAACAGGCTAGAGACAGACAAGGGGGAAGCTTTTATAGCAGTGATGGCAAACCTATGGCACACGTGCCAGAGGCGGCACTCAGAGCCCTCTCTGTGGGCACGCCATCACCGCCGCCGCCAGCAGCTCACGCAGGTCCATTAGGCCACCGGCAGCGTCCAGAGTGTCAGCCCCACCCAGCACAAAGGCGAAGCAGCCAGCTAGCAACTCAAGTAGAGGTGGTAGAGCACGCCCCCATGTACTTGCTGGCCTTTGTGTGCAGGGGCCGATGGTGTCAGGCAGCAGTCGCCCCAACCCTGCCTCACTTTGCCCCGTGGCAATGGCACCCTCGCCCTGCCCCGTCTCACCCCGTAGGACAAGCCTCCTGCCCACCGCCCCACCCATGAGAGACCCCCTGGATCTCCCCCAATCCTGCCCAGTCCCCACAGGCGTCCCCCCATGAGCAACATCGAGGTGGACACGCCCACCCCGCCCATGCCCACCCAGTCTGCCATGACCACTGCAGCTACACCCACCCAGTGGGCTACACACCCCTGCCCCCCCCAAGGGCATCACAATGCTGATGCGGCCCTGGTACTTTGCGATAAATAAGTGGGATTCGCCATCACTGTTTTATAGCTTTTATAGATTTATTTCATTCGATAAAATGTGGGGGGTTGGTTTTTTTTAAAGGACCATGTCTTCTAATATTTATCGGATATATATTCAAGTATTGAAAATCTGATGTTTCTACTCTATGTCTTTGGGGCTAGCATTATTTCTCAGAAATGTTTCCATTTTCCATCATGGTTAAACTGATCTCTAAGTCTAGGAACTTACATTTAAAGATATTGGACACTGGGGAGACAAAACAAAGGAGAGCTATTATCTTCATAACAAGCTTCTGTTCATGCTGCAGGAAAGAGGGTGCTACTGGACTCAAGAGGCTTTTGTCTGATGCAACAAAGCCCTTCCTAGATTTGTGTCCAATTTTTTTTCCCAGGCCATCAGATTTTCCATGTACATTTTTGTTCAATATAGGACCGAAACTCTGGGTGTATTGTGTTTTCTTCAACTAATGGTGAATAATAGGAGAGCATGCAAGAAACCTTTCAACCTAGTATGCTGTGGAATTGATACCTTGGTTCTGGGTTGCAAAGACTTGATTACCATTTATTGGGTTGTGTATGTTTTTCATAGGCAGAATATAAAATGTGTTATAAAATAGGTGGTTTCACAGTGATCCACAGCCCAAAAGTGTTGGTTTCAGTTCCTCTGGCACCCGTTTCGGCCAGTTTTAGTCCCCATCCTTGCATCCCAGGTGCCTGGCATCGCCATCTGCCAATTAGTGTCCATTTGTTCCCATCAGTTGAGCACATCAAAGCCTGAAGAGGGAGCCCTTCCTCTACAATAATTTGCCATTCATAGCAGTGAGGCTCATTAATACATTGGGGTGTGCATTGATAATAGGGGGTCAACTCATGCACCCAGACTTCTTGAAAGCCTTAAATATAACAGGTGATCTTGAAAGAAAGGGATGTTTTCTCTTCCGAACCACGGAAAATCTTTATTGCAAGCCGGGCATTTTAGAAACAACCACCTAAGGGGAACCTCCCTCTTTAGTGCAGCTCAAAGCATCACCATTTACTGTAGTATAGAATGTAAAACTCAGCACAAAGCCACAAGCCACCCTGGTGTGTACAATTAAGCTGCTTCCCTAACAAATACTGACTTCCCCCACTCCTCCTGCCCCTCCCCCAGACCGCCCCCATTCAACTGAAGAGAGAGCTCTGATTTGCATGCCAAGAGCCCATTAGCCTGAACCACAGCTGGAATCCAGGAGTATCTTTTAAGTGGGGGGGGGGAGATTGCTCCAGTTGCAGCTTCTCCGTGTGCTCTTAAAGTGGGAATATTTATCTTATTCTGCTAAGCTACAGCATCGTGATTGTTGTCTGCTGCAGTGTGTTGAATAACGTTGCCCCACAGAGAGAGATTCTATTAGGTTTCTCTGGATTGTGATTTGTGTTCATGCACTTAATTCTCAAATCTTTTCATTTCAATTTGTTCGAAAGATTCTAATATCTGTGGAGTTAAATCCAAGGATGATATCTCATTTGTTTAGATCTTAACCACAGCAAATACTACCCAACAAATTTTGTCCCTTTTCCACTCAGGTTTTCTTAAAAATCTGTCCTGTGATTTCTGCAATCCCTGAAGCTCCTCCACCTCCTAGCTAAATATGTGCTATTCAGCAGTTTGACTTCACAGACCTGTTTCTTTCATCCATTTTTTCCCCCCAAAAAGCTGAATGTACAACACTCTGATTTGTTAATACATCAGTGGCAGGTCTTTTTTTAAAATCAAGCATCAAAGAAATTAGCAGCTAGGAATGCCAGCCTTGTTTCTCTAGGGTCATCACCACCTGATGTTACTTTTGCAGTCCCAGCCTTTGACTTGTGCTGGCTGGAGGACACTCGGTTGTTTGTCTCTTTGATCCTATTGACTTAGTTGCAGTGTTCAAATAGAGCTGACCAGGAGTATAACTTCCATTTCTGGAGAATATAATGTCCCCTAGCCTTGCCTTAAAAGCAATACGGGTTACAAATATAAAGGCTTCTGGCTAAGGCTGTAACGCCAGGATTTGCCACACATGGCAGTCCAGCAACATTGAGCCCCTGCAGTAAGACAGGTGAGTGTGCCATAGTTTAAAGATGGGTTGTGATCACTTTGCCTTGTAACATGGTCTGCAGTTCTGGATCTGCCTTCTTTGATATCAGTTCTTTAAAATGTATCCTTGGGAAATTAACTTCTGTGGATTTATGAGAATTCCACAAATAGGTGAAGACAGCTCCCAACTTTATTTCTTAAATGTTTTAAGGAAACCCCTGAGGCTCGTTACAGCTCCTCTAGCATCAAAATGGCTTTAATGACATCCATGATGAAAACCTATTAAATAAAAAACCTCCCCATCACACTTCCTGCTTCTAACATTTCAACAATAAAAACAAAGGAGTAATCATGCTTGCTAAACTTCCTGAGATTGGATTCAGCTGCTTCTGACTGAATCCACTGAACTGAATGGTGCCAATTTGTCTTAATGAAAGACCTCTTCATTCTTCCTCTCCCCGTTTAAGTGATAGTTGTGTCGTACAGGAGAGGACCCCTTTCTTTACCATTGAGAGTCCTCTAGGTCTCAAGTTAGACTCAGAGTCCTTGTACCTTACTAGGTACAAGTGATTCGAAAAGGTTCCACGTCTCACCCAGTAGAGTTTTGACTAGAAGAACCCTTCCCCCCTCTCCAATAAGACATCGGGGTCTACAAAAAAGCCTTATCTGGCCTAGTAGATTATTGGTGGGATCTTAATCAACTTAGACTTTGTTTGTGTTTTTGTTCTTAAAAACAAGGAACAAAGATCTTCTTTCTGATGCTAGCTGTAGGAGAAGGTTGGTTACTTATTAGTTACTTTTTATTTATGATTGGATATATATATCAAACGTTTTATCCAGGAGCTCAAGGCAACATGTACATAAATCTTCTTCCTCCCATTTTTCTCCAGAACAACCCTGGGAGGTAGGCTGGGCCAAGGGATATTGATCAACCCAAAGTCACATAGTGAATTTCAGTGGCCAAGAAAAAACTACAATCTGGATCTTCCTGCTATAGCCCAACTCCTTAACCACCATTCCACAATGGCACAGAGAAGGAAGCCTCTCATCTCCTAGGCCAATATTGTCAAACTCAGTATTTTAGTAGCCCACATTTTCTTTCTTCCTGTATCAGATTGGATGGGCGGTAGGAATGGCGAATGTGAAGATCAGTAGAAAGTCATGTAGCTAAGGTAAATTTACCTTCTATCTGTTGATCTAATATATAAATAAAACTCAGCCCATATAAATAAAATATAGCAAGAAGCCAACTGTCTTTTACTCTCCTTGCTTCAGGGAGGATTTTTTCCCGGGCTGTTAATAGATTTATTTATTGGGGTGTAAGTTTGTTGGAGGCCCTGAGGCACCTCACATTTTTATTGAAGACAGTCATCACAGCTGCTGTTTAGGACCTTCTCCTTTTTTATGATACTGTCAGGAAGGTGTTTTTTATTTTTTTGATACATAGTTTGAACACTAATACGGTGTGTAATGCATAGCATAGCTGCAGGAATCTGTAAATAGTAGATTCAACAAAAAGAAGGTAAGAATGATAAGCTGAATGGAAAAGATTGCTTGATAAATCAAGTTGAAATCGGCTCTTAATGATCATATAGATTTTCTCCAGAAACATCAGTCCACAATTTAGTCCCCAGGTCTTCCAACAATGTACTTGTTGCAGCTGTAATTCAGTCAGAAAGAGGCTGTCTCAATTCAACAAATTTGTGCCCACTTTGGCCAACCATCTTCTGTTGGAAAATCCACAAATGAAGCAGGAAAGCAACAACATCTCCCTAGCAAAGATTATTTCATAGAATCATGGGTTGGAAAGATTTGGAGATCTTCCAATCTAACTCTCTTCCCAGAGCAGGAATCTTCAAATGATCCCAAATGTTATCCAGGCTTTGTTTAAAAACATCTAGTAATGAAGTATCCACAACTCAAGGAAAAGACTATTTCACTGCTTCATAACTCTAATAGTTAAGTCTTTTTTCGTTATTATACATTTGTATCTCTTCCTATAAAGTTTCCACCATTGGCTCTTATTCTACCCTTGGACACCACCGAAAATAAATTCATACCTTCTCCCTTATGGCAATCCTTCAAATATTAGAAGACTCCTATCAAGTCTCCCTTTAACCTTTTTTTCTTCATGCTAAACATGCCCAGTTCTTTTAACCCAGTTCATAGGATTTAGCTTTGAAGCCCCTAACTGTCTTTGTTGATCTTCTCTGACTCTTTCCAGATCCCCAACATCCTTCTTGTATTGTGCAAACAAAAACTAGACACAATATTCTACTGACAATCTGACCAATACACCATAGATTGGATATCTATATTATAATTCTTTTGATGCAGTTCAGATTTCTTTAGCTCCTTAACAGCTGAAGTACACCATTGGATCATGCTTAATCTGTGATCTGCCAGGACACCCAGTTCCTTTTTACAAGAACTAATGCCAAGCCAACTATCACTTATTTTGTACTTGTGGGTCTAGTTTTTCTTACCAAAGTGCAGGACCTTACATTTCTTACATTGGAACAATTTGTTGGACAGGGCCCAACATTCAAGTCTATCAAAATCCTTCTGAATCTTGAGTCTCTCTTTGAAAGTATAAACAATCCCACCACAACCGCCACCACAGTTGTGTGTAATTTGTACATTTACTAAGCATCTACTTTAGCTCCTGTAAGTCATTTATAAAAATGTTAAAGAGCACTGGATTGAAGACAGAATCCTGAGATACTCCACTGGAATATTTTCAGATATATTGCCTTTGACCATAGAGGTTTAATATATTAAATTTAGTATAGCATACCTAGAATTTCCAATTAGGAAGCCCTATGTCCTATTAAAATCTATACTTTAAGGCCAACTGAACCAGTGGTCTTCACTGTACTTTTAAATAGTTTCATAGATATGAGAGTATCTTTCTGTTTAGCTGCTATATTGATTATATAGAACTGCTAATTAGTTCTGTTGACCCATTGCCCAAGTCCTAAGCTCTGAGGGAGACAAGAAAAATTCCTTCTGACCCCTTTCACCATGTCATGCATGATTTTAGAAACCTGATGCAATTGGCCATGCTAGCTGGCGAAAATTGGGAGTTGCAACTCCAGCCATTTGAAGGATATTGTGTTGGGAAAGACGGTTGTATTGTATTCATGTTCAGTATTTTTCTTTCTAAACTACCAGGCCAGCAGTGCTAAAGTTTTTCCTCCATCAAGGAAAACGCTGCAGCTTATTTTTAACTCATCTTCTGCTTCAGCTTGCAGATTCACTGGTACCCACTGAGATGAAACCAGGTATTTCCTTGGCAACTGTTAGTGCTGTTTTGCATACTAAAGATAACAAGCATGTGCTCCAGGTATGATATGACTAGTGCTGGGGGGAAGTGGGGGATTTCAAAGATTTGCCAGTGATGTAGACCTTTTTCATAGGAGCACAATGGCTCAGTGGTTAAAGACACTGAGCTTGTCAGCTGGAGAGCTGACAGTGCGGGTTTGAGACCCAAGCTCTGCGCAATGGGATGAGGTCCCGTTCCTGCCCCAGTTCCTGCCCACCTAGCTAGTCCAAAAGCATGTAAATCCAAGTAGATTAATAGGTACCACTTCGGTACCTTTGTCGTCTTTGGCGTATAGCCATGCTGGCCACATGACCATGGAAATTGTCTTCAGACAACGCTGATAGGGAGTCGGTTCTTTAACCACAAACCACAAATAGAGCGAAAAGATCTTACCCCAAAAAAAGGGTACTTTTAAACAACTAAAGGGTGAGATCGGTTCTGGACCCTAAGAAAAACTTTCAGAGGGTCACTTTGTATTCGTCCAGACTGGGGAGAAGGGAAAAATAAAATCTAGTGGGTTCGGTGAAGAAATCGATGATAATTGCTGTGGAATTCTGTCTCCACCTTATATGATAAACATACTCGCTTTTAGATATGTATATAAGCCTTATACTGCTATTGTGCAAAAAGAAAAAAAAAGTCTGGGCAAAACCGATAGATAAAACAGCACTTAAAAATAACGGTAGTGTATAGTGAAGCAGTGGATTGCTCATATTCATTTAAAACAAGTCAATAATTAACGGGATGCTTCTTTGAAAGGGTGGGGTGTAAAGAAAAGTAATAGAGGTTGGACAGGAGGTGTGGGGAGGATTAAGAGAAAGAATAGGTAGCAGGACAGAACGAAAAACAAAAGGAAGGCATGGAGAAGGAAGCAACTAATATGTATGAAAGAAAAAGGAGAGAAGAAAAACACTATTCCCCCTTCTGTAAATTATTCGGGAGTTTTGTTGATGTACCTCTAGAGCAGGGGTAGGCAACCTTGGTTCTTTTATGACTCGTGGACTTCAATTCCCAGAATTCCTGAGCCAGCCATGCTGGCTCAGGAATTCTGGGAGTTGAAGTCCACGAGTCATAAAAGAACCAAGGTTGCCTACCCCTGCTCTAGACAGATTTTATATCCTAGATCAGGGGTTGGCAAACTATGGCCTATGGCCTTGCCCACTGCTTGTTTTTATATGGCCCACAAATATTTATGCCTTAAGATCTCTATAGGATATACTTGATGGGCATTGCCGTCTTGATTAAATGGCTTGACTATCCGTAAGAGGTTGACTCCCCAATGCTTGGTTAGCTGCATTGACTGAAGGGTTAAGGGTATCTGTTCCCTGGCCACTTGAGGCATGCAGAATAGTAGAAGGCTTTCATGTAGAACTTCAGCTATGTACATGCTCTTATCTTTTTCATCTCCAATCTTTTATTGGTAGCTCCCACCAAAACTTTCCCAGCCTCAGCCTGGCAAAAAGAGGAAGAGAGTAACAGATGACGTGCCGGAACTCAAGTCTACCAAACCTCTCTTAAGTGGCTCTATCCCGGTAGACCAATTGGTACAGACTCTGGAAAAGGTAATAGAAAATACTAATAGAGAAAACATGGTAGATTGGTTAAGCATCTAATGCTAAGAAGCTGGTCCTGTGATCAACATTTATTTTTAAAGCATTTATTTCACCGTTCTCCTAAGAATTCCATCAGTGCCATGAAGGTCATGGTGATTAACCTTATCCTTTCTGAGCCTCATTTCTAAAAGAAAGAGGCAATTTTAACTTGTTTGTTGCTTACCTTGTCCCACATAATTGAGCTGGAGCCATTGAGTATCAAGCCACATCAATTTACCCACGGTTTTGCTGCTTTTAAAAAAAATAAGAACACCCTTTCCTAGCCTGGTGCCACCACCATCTTTCAGATATATTAGACTGCAAGTGCCAAATCCTCTAGCCACCCATGGGCCAACCAGAAAAAACATAGGAGCTCTTTGCTACTGCATTTGAAGGATGCAAAATTGATAAGGCTGTGAGCGAGCATACAGAATCTTGGATTGCAGCAAGTAGGTCAAAGAAAAAGAAGAAATATGATTTGTCTATTTTTAATACATATGTAGAGATGTAATTTATATTCCTAAATGACATATGACACAAATATTGACCAGATGCTTATCAGATGGAGGGTTTTAAATAGCTCCTATTTTAGCGGATTGTTTTTTTTTTCCTTGTCCACGGTGGCTGCAGCATGGCTTCAGTGACATCAAAGTGGAAGACACCCCAAAAGGGCATCTGGTGCTGTTCCAGGACGTGGAAACTCTAATCCGCATTGAAGAAGATTCGACCCACATCATGTGTGAGAGTGACGAGTCACTTAGGGTGAAGCTGCAAGACCTGGTCCTCAAATTCCTGCAGAAATTCTAGACTTTATCCTGCCAAAGTTACACTCCCTGCTCTCCTTAGCCTTCTGAAGAGGGAGAAGTCTAAACAAGGATTTGGGGTTACAAGGTGGGTGAGCAAGCTTGAAAATCATGTCTGCAGTTGCACACCTTTGATTTGTGAGAGACTCAACGGGTAGGTTTATATGAGCCAAAGTAAGGAGACCTGATTAATTCTGTCTAGATACCTTGCTGTAAAAATGCCCCTCTGTTTATTAACTGCAGCTTAAAGGATGAGATTTAGCTGATATTACAACTGCAGCAGAATCCAGAACAGCTGATGAACAGCCTTTCCTACCATCTGTCCTTTTTTACTAAAATTGGGAGAGAAATAAATGTTAAAGATGTATTTAGTTTCAAGTTTAATTTTATTTTTTAAATTTTGTAATACTGAACTTCTTTTAAAAATAAAATACAGACCTGCATTGTTTTAATTGATGGCTCATTTTAAATACATGATGAACATAATTGTAAGAAATTACGTCTTAGCTGAAGTTATTCAGAAGCTGCATTGGCCTTTCACAGATTTAAGTCCCATGTATGGGGAGTAGCATCAGCGATAGAACAAATATTCAGTTCCCCCAACCTCACCTCAGTTTTGAAAACATATTCTTAATTTGTCTACTGTTTGTCAGAAAAAGACAACTAAAACAAGAAAAGATAACGAGATCTGGGAGCAATGGAACTTGACATGGATTCATCCCTCCCCATGTGATTAACAGTTGTGGGGAAAGTGTAGGATGGGCAGGTATTCTGCAAATCTGATGTCGCTCCTGTGGTTGCTTCCATAACCTCATGAAGCTTATTTGACCACTTCAGATTATGGAACGCTTTTGTCTTCTTCAGATTCAGAGATCAAGCCCTAAAAACAATCTCATGTCAAGCTCTCCTGGCTCATGAATCACGAACATAAACTTGATTTTTATTTAAAAGTACATGGGAACTTAGTAGTTGGTAGCTGTAAGTCTTACCCTTAAGTAGTGCCCTGCTTACAATAGCATGTGCTTCTAAGTATACTTTCATTTTCTGGCACAGCTAGTCAGGCAGAAATATTACTATTATACAAGACTAGTCGTAGTAATGCACAATTTTCTCCTTTTGCTTTTTTTTTTTTTTTTTTTTTGAGAAAAAAAAATCCTTTAACATTCACTTGGGGAAGGAGTTGTGAATTGCATTACTTCCTCTATTCCTGGCCCAATCATGCAGAAAATGACTATCTGGTCACCTACAATGAAAAGCTTAGTTAAATGATCAAAAGATAGAGCAGTTGCTGCTAGTTGAGGACCCATTGTCACAATTCAGCCCCAGGATAGCTATTTAAGACTTGCTTATCTTCTCCTTTTCCATTCCTGAACAGACCCTGCATCATATACTTTTTTCCTCTCCTTGCTTGGTTCTTGAAATGGCAAAGTTTGGCTTATCTATGAATACTACTAAAACAAGCACTAGTTTTATTATGGACCCCAATGAAAGAGACTTGAGGGGTTTTTCCCATCATTATCACCCCCCTCCCCTCCCCGGGCTATAATACAGCCTCGGCACACTTTATATCAAAGTAGTGTAAACCCCACAGAGAGAGGTTTGACTGCCTGTGGCTGAGACATGACAACTGCTTTACAGAGCATGAGAAGAAAAGCTATTATTGCTTATAACAGTTGGTGACGCAGGTTACATGCCCATCACATTTATGTTAAATTGAAATAACACAGATGCAAACAAATTGGAACAGCAAGGGGCCAGAGACCTCCCCTACCGAGAAGCAATGCACAAAAGCCGATGTCTGAAATCAGGAACGTATTTCCCACTGGGGACCACAGCAAGTCTGCAATTACTTAGTAAACACAGTGGAGAATGAATAAACAGAGGCACACAATGAAAAGGCTTCAGCACCAGCCCCCTTGCCCACCCCACCTGCCCTCTTGCTGCATCTTGCTGCTTCTTGCAATTTTCCTCCCAAATTGTGTTCCATCAATGGGCAATTCCTTCAAGTTTGGCAGATGGATGTCAGCCCTCTTCAAAATGGGGGCGAGGTCTGTTTTTTCACAGTTCCATTAAACTGTAATTGTTTTCCCATCGTTGAAAAGGAGACATTGTTTTAGCTTTGTTTTAGTTAATAAAAAACAATGAAAGGAAAATTCAATGGGCAGCAGTATAAGGATATCAGGATTTCACTCAGTGGCTAGAAAAGGACAGAAAATATGCAAAATCTGAATGGCAGACAATCATTGTTTTCTGTACAAACAAACAAAAGAAAACCCCACCTGACCCTTATCTGAATGCAGATGGGGGTGGGAGGGTGGATAAATGTGTGTCTGTGTGCAAAAAGCAGAGGGAAAGAGTATTATTTTTAAAAAAAAGATTATATGGCATAATATAGAACATAGATTTCTGCCACAGCAAGACACCAGGTTTGATATTCAGCTTCAAAAAGTAACAGCAAACCAAACCAACCTATTTTAAAATATAAGATACAGGATTCAGTTCAAAACTGGGAAGCCTTGCTGATAAACATTTATAGAATGCAGCTTTCCATTACAGGGTTTTAAGGCTCTGTATCTTCAAAACATATTTCTGCAGTGAGAGATTTGACTAGAGATCATTAGATGTTCTAATACCTGCCTAATAGTCAATAAAATGCTTTGAACTTCTGAAATTGCCATAGAGTATATCCCTCACGTAGCACGACTGTTTCTGAATCATTACCTTGTTCTTGCCATTTAATATATTATCCTTATACTTAAATGTCACAGCTGTCAACAGCATTGAAGCTGATTTTTGTTGAATTTCGAAGTTGGATTTGGGAGATCACCAAGATGTGCCAGCAGCGTGGATTTAAAAGCCTCCTAGCAGGAAAACCTGGCATGGGTATCATGAAGCCTCCAGGGTGGCTTGACTTTTAGCAATGATGTGGCAGAACTATGCAGATCTTTAATGTCTGAGCCAGAAAAGGAATTTATTTGGTATTAGATTTATAACCCATCCTTTTGTGCAAGTGTTCAAGACTTAACTGGCCTGTGAATAGGTTGGGCTGAGTTTTTGTGGCTTTAAGACTCCTTTGTTTTCTTTTACAGAGTGTACCTCTTACTGTTTTTTATCAAATAGGCAAATGATGATATTTAATTTGGAATGGGAATGTAAAGCACTACACCCTTTATCATGCTTGGTAGAGAAGATTAAACCTGCTTTGAACGAGACAAAATGTGGGCAGTTACTTTCTGCATGTCCCCTAAGAGACAGGGTCTTAAGACTGCATCTGAGGGCCCGGGTCTTTCAGAATGCCATCATTTGGCTGGGTTCAAACAATACAATTATTGGGTTCTTGGTGTTCAACCAAGTTCAGAGAAAACCAAGAACTCAACTGCCTAGCCTTGAACTACATATATTCTTTATTAATGGAGCAATACAATTAACCTGATTACTGAATTAGTTCCTTTTCTGAATTTACCCAATGCTTTTGAATGGAAAAGACCTTAAAATTGATTTAATACTGTTCAGTTAATTTGATACACACCAAGTAGCAATACTTAGACAACCTTGTGTGTTTTGAAAAAGCCAAATAAAACTTCCCCCAAGTTGGCATGCTGAGCAGTAGGGAGGTCTGTTTCTCTTGCCAACAAACAGCTGGTTCTTGCTGCCAAAGCGGGTTCTTTGGTAGCCTGCTCCCTAGATCCGAACGGGAACATTTAGAAACTACCCAACACAACCTTGGACAACTGTGGCTTCACCTGGGAAAAGGAATCTTGAGGATCGCAATGCCCAGGAGTAGCCGTTAGAAAATTAGATCTCCATCTTTCCTTTCAACTGTTTGGTTTTTTTTTTTAAGTATGCCTTGGTTTTAACTGCACATTTTGAATGTTTTATCTTGATCTTTCTTTTAAAAGCAGAATGCTGATTTACTCTAATTCCTTGCTGGTTTTTAACATAAATTCTTTAAAGATTTTTCACTGTTTATTCTGCCATTCTGAATTACTTTCGCTTTCTCTGTATGGAAGTTGATGGAGATTTTCTGGGTAGTTAAAGTGACTTGTTTGGGTTTACATTCACATCACGTTTTCGCTACAGGAATTTCTCATTTTCTTAACTTTTTAAAAGCTCTGGTCTTAATTTTTTTAAATCTATTTATTTTATTCAAAAAAGTTAACTCCAATTTTTTTTAAAAAAAAAAAGCAGTAAAGACATTTTTAAAAAATGCATTAAAAAAACCTAATACATATAAACATATTAATTTTTAAATTTTTGATGGAAATTTTCCTTTTTTCTTTATCCGTTATTGTGAGAAATATTAACTCAGCATTTTCTGTGGCTACCTTGTTAGGGTATACATAACTTCCCTGTTTATGTCTAAAATGCACCAACTTAAATATAATGGTGACTGGGGAATGGTTTTATTATAACTAACTGATAAACAATTTGGACTGGACTTTTTTGGGAACATGGATCGACAACAGAGGTTTATGCTACTGGGATATAAGATAGATAACCTTGATTGTCATTTTTTCCTGTGGGCACATTGGCATATATTAAAAATGAAATTTACAGTAGTTGCTTCCTCTCAAAGATACACTTGTTAGGAAAATTCTCAACCGAAATCTTAAGGAAAAGTTATTCTATTAAGAATCAAACAAGGATATTTGATCCTGGCCTGATCAGAGATCATTATTGTGGTGATTTATGATAAGAAGCCATCATAGTCTTTCTACATATTCAATATAATAATAGATTGTTAACAGAGGGCTTTGAAGTTTAACTTTGCTGATGGTTCACCTGTTCACTTCTTTATTTTTCTATAGTAGCTAGATGGCAGGTCAAACTGATAGCAAGTAGATATAGAAGTTTATAAATTTGGGGCCTGCTTTCCAAGGGTGGGGGAAACTAATATTGTTGCAATACATTTAATACTCAACTGAGGGGGTATAATATATTTATTTGTAAAATTACTTTTTTTTTCTTGGAGTTTGTATTTTACCGTAACTCTGAATAAAAAAAAATGAAAAAAGAAAAAAGGAAGAAAAAGCCAAACAAGATCAGAGCTAGTTAATACTTGGAAACCCCAATGTTGAAGGTAAAGCCAGGGAGTTTTTACTAAATTCCCAAAAGATCACGTGAAGTATTAATACCACTTTACAATGCCTTGGTAAGGCCACACTTGGAATACTGGAATACTCTAGAAAGAGTACAGAGAAGAGCAACAAAGATGATTAGGGGACTGGAGGCTAAAGCATATAAGGAAAGGCTGCTGGAATTGGGTATGTCTAGTTTAATGAAGAGAAGGACGAGGATAGCAGTATTCCAATATCTCAGGGGCCGCCACAAAGAAGAGGGA